CGTGCTTGAGTGGCTTCTGTAGTTATATTGAATTTCCTACTCTTATTAACCTGCCCTGACTAACAGCGCTGCACGCGACCCCTCTTAGGCTCAGGAGTAACTGTCAGTCTCTGGAACGCAAACTACTCACAATCTACGCGGCTTTGAACGGCTGCACTTGGCCAGCAACTTTGGTTGATTCTTATTCATTGCAAGTCAACTTTCTGGCTGCTGCAGAAGAAAGACGTTCAGATCTAGTGAGTCATATCGTTACCCTTTATATCATTGTTCATCAATTTTTACCATTTTCCATCGTCGTAGTGTAGTAGTTTACTTACTATTAGTTAGTTACTATAGTAAAGCAAAAATTCCAGACGTCTGGAATTTTTGCGGTTCACACTCCCTGGTACGTTCTGTACCATCTGTAGGCATTATATCTAGTTAGCCTCTACATTTTGCAAGTCCTTTGTCAAATTAGGACCAATAATTAGATAATGGACTGGTTACTATTTAAAAAAAAACATAAAATAAATACTTAATGGCATAATTGAGTGCATGAATGCCTAGGCATTTATGCCCTGCCAGCACATGACCCCTTCATTCGAAGCGGTGTTACAGGGGGATAGGGGAAGTTATCCCCGGCAGCATTTATTTAAAGCTTATTATTATTGTAGAAGTAATATTATGCATCCGTGTGTATATTCCAACGATTAAAATAGAAAAGTAAACATAAATCGTTAACATTTACTGGATAAAAGTGACCTCAAACATCAGACCTCAAAATTACATGCGCTACAACTTAAGTGACAAAAAGCACATTTTAGATAGAACAATTGAAGAAAATTATTTTCCCTGCAACGCTATATCATTGGATATTTGCCCACACGAACTGGCCAAAAGGCGGCCGCACGGATATTTTGGCTTGCCCTGTAGTCTTGTGCGTTGGGCATTCCTATGACGAAAACGATTTTCGTGTACTTACGCTCGAAAATTAATGTTTGAACATCCCTTACCTGCATCAACTTGTGTTCGTGTATGCTCGATCCGAGCATGCGTTCAGTTTGGTCTGTGTAATTACAAGGACAGTTTAGGCATGGGATGCGATAAACTACTCCAGAGTGTTCATTCTGCGTAAGCCGGTCTATTATTTTCATCAATCTGCTGCGCATGGTAGCTTTGGGTCTGTGTGCAATTCCAACACCTAGTCCCGCTGCGATGCGCTCAGTTGCTTCAGAGACGTCTTTGATGTATGGCAGAGCGTGCCATATCCTCGGTGTTTCTTCCCTTTGCGTCCTCTGAGGCCGAACGCATAGGCATTGGTTTATAAATGCTTTTGGATAACCGTTCCGCATAAATTGGTCGCGGAGATATCGGGCCTCGCGTACCTTTCCCTCCGGCTTACTGCAGTGAGTCTGAATCCGTTCGTAGAGCGTTTTAACCCAGCTCCGTTTGTGAGCAACTGGATAATTGTTGCGAAAACTGAGAATTTGTGCTGTACAAAGTGGATCTATAGAAAACTGAAATTCAGAAGAAGAAGCGATCACTGGAACAAGAGTTTTATTGTCCTGACGTCTCGGATTCCACCGGGAATCCTTAGTCATAGGTAATTGTGAACAAGTCTGAGT